TAAAGCAATGGGTATCTTAACCCAAGTTCTATCTCAAATTGCTTGAAGAAGTCACAGCTTTCTTTTCTAGGCTCCAGATTCCTTCTTAAAAAAAAAACAAAAACAAAAACAAAAAAACACACCCAGCACAACAACAATAACAAATTCCCCCTAAATAATCCTCTTGTTCTTATAAACAATTTTGTGATTATTTCATAATTTTCTTTTGTTTCATGTTAAAATGCTTCAACATGTTGGCAGAGCTTGAGAAGTTAAAATGGGGTGTCTGGATCTATTTTGTCTGAAAATACTTCTGTCTCTCTTATCCTACTTAATAGATGCTTAATCTCATCTTTGTCACATTAGCTTATTCACTCATCTCAATTTAGAGGGGAACATTAATGTGTTTGCACATATATTTATGTGGTGCTGATGTTACGATCTAAGCAATATATTTTAATTATTGCTTGGTATGTATACATATGCATATTTTTTTTGTTTCTTTTAGGCCAACAGTGACTCATCTGAAGAAGATGGAGACGGTAACAGTTCAGACGAGGAAGAGGAAGAAGAGGTAAGAAATGTCTGCAGTCTTTTTGATGACAAATCAGGCAGCACAAAAAACAAAGAAGAAATGAGTCCCCTGTAGTCAGGACTCAGCAAATAGCCGTGGTCAGTTTACCAACAGCCCACAGTCTTCTATTTTGAACAAGGAGTGTTATTTCAATAAGAATGAATCAAAATGTCTTGTTTCAGATACTTGAAGCCTAGGGTTCAAGTTACTTGTACAAACAAGCAAAAAGATTTCTGTTTTCAATGTGGCGGGAAAGAACAAACTCTGAAAAATGGTAATAAAAGGTATTTTTAATGTTTAAGTGGATAGAACATTATTATAATTGTTGTTGTTGTTGTTAAGTGCCAGGGAGTCATAGACAACTCATAGTGACCCTATGAATGAAAGAACTGAACCCTTGTATAACTTTCATGGTTTCTCCACATTGATAGTTTACTGAGGCAAGCCATTTTGGAAGTGGATGCCACTCCTGCTTCCAAGCTTGTTTTAATCAGTGACTCCACCAAACACAGTCCACCATGGGTAACCATTATCACATTTGACACATTAGCGTCACAGTGTTTAACATCACAGTAACTTCAAGTTACCTCTGTACAGCAAATGGACAGACCAGTGCTATCCAACTAGAATAATGTTTTACAAAAACCAATTAAAACCAGACCTGAGGGCTGCAGATTAAAATCACTCACCTTTGGCTTGGTAGTATAACTTTCTATCCGCTAAGCCAACAGAGCTCTCTCTTTGCTATTGTTATTATGTGCCATCAAGTCGCCTGCCACCCATAGAGACCCTATGTACAGCAGCTCTGAAGCCAGCCCTGTCCTGAGCCAGTCTCACTGACTCTTATACATCAACCCCCATTGTCCAGTTACTATTATCAATATGTCTCATCCAGGGTCTTCCTCTCCTGCACTGTCCCTCCACCCTTCCAAGCATGATGACCTTCTTCAAGAACCAGTTCTTACTTGCCATAGAAACACACTAATTAGCAAGTTAATTTTTCTGAATCATCAATTGTAGCTATCCACTTGTTTGGGAATTTAAGTGTTTTAAATGCTACTTATGAATAGCTATTGATAGCCAAAAAACGATCATTGATAAATATTTAATATCTTGAAAACAAAATGGAGTAGGAGATTTAGTGTTAGGTAAAGGAATTTGAAGTCATAAATTATTAGATTGTTACTTTGTTTTATCTTTTTGTTTTTTGGGGGTTTCTTTAGCCACAAAATTCACATTTCCAGTACCATGATTTATTCAAAGCACTTGTATGAAGGCCTTACTAGAACAGCAAATCAGTACTAGAACAAACACCACTTACTAAATCCTACCAAATTTTTCTTGGATTTTCACATAGCAATCCTACATAAAAACTAAGCTAGAATAATCTTTTTAACAACAGTTATTTGATGTACTGTGATTATAATATTGTTTGCCAAGTTTATTTTCCAATTAGAGTGTTTATTTTCTTGCCAGTGTGCTCCAGTAGTTGTGTGTGGTACTTGGAAATGGAGCCAGATTAGGACTCATTTTGGATATTACACAAAATGTGCACATCAAAATTTTTTTCAACAATTTATGAACACTTGTAGTCCTGCAATAATTTATCCCCTGAGAAGAATGTTGAATAACCACGGACAGCCAGGAGAACAGATTCATTCTAGAGAGGGTGAGATCAGGCTGCTCCTGGAAGGCAAGGATACTGAAGCTTTGTCTGACCTACATGTGGCAAGGCAGGACCAGTCTTTGGAGAGGGACGTCATGCTTGGGAGGGTGGAGGGACAGTGCAGGAGAGGAAGACCGTCAATGAGATGGATTGATTCGGTGACTGGGGTAATGGTAGTAGGTATGTCAGAGACAATAATATTGATGCAGCATAGAGCAGGGTTTAGAGCTGTTGTACATAGGGTCACTATGAGTCTCAGGTGACTTGGCAGCACATAACAATATACTTCAGAAGACTGACAATCCTAGGCTACATTCACAGGGAAGGAGTTATGGTATGTATCTTCTCACAGTGTGTACCAAAGTGTCTTATGGGAATTGGTACATGTAGTACCTAATAAATATTTGGCAGCTTGTTTTTGACACTTTAGAGGAATAAAAAATCCACTTATCATTCCTTAAAAGAGTTAACAGATATTCAATGAATACAACTGAATCTCCCATCTAAAGAAATTCTGAAATTTTTTGCTTCCTCCATGTTTTTCCTGAAATTCCATTTGAATTTAAGGCTGAGTATAGAGTCTCTAGTATTCAGCTCCACATGAGCAAATAAAATATGCTTGGGTGTATTTCCTATTTGATTGTACATTTTGCTGACTCATAAATGAGCCCCACTTGCGAATTTTTATTGAAATAAGAAATATATATAAAACAATTGTCTTAAGTATACAGCTTATTGAACTTTCAGAAACTGGACAGGTGTAACCACACCTACATTAGAAGGCAGCATTTGTCTTGTGTTCCATTCTGTTGATTAACCAACTCCAAATAGGGGAACTACTATTTTCATCTTGGACACTGCTACTTTTTCCTGTTTCTGTATATTATATAGATGGAATCATACAGCAGGTACTTTTTTATAAGCAACTTCTGCTTTCAACTCAGAAATCCATCCATATTGTTCTGTGGCAATAGATGGGTCATTGTCATCAGTATTTTGTGAATCTACTAAAATTATAATAATAATTAATTATAATTATTTTAATGACAATTTTGTTAATTTCCAATATTAAGTTATTACAGATAATGGTGCTATGAACATTCTAGTATTCTAGTACACATATGTCTTCAATTCTGTAGGTTATTTTACCTAGAAATTAATTTTTAGACCAAAATACAAGCATAGGTTCAACCTTAGTAGATTCAGTCGAATGCTTTTCAATGTTGTTGTTCCGGTGTAAATTTCCATCATTAGTAGATGAAAGTTTCAGTGAATCCATGTTCTCACAAATACATGCTTCCTTCAGTCATTTTAGGATTTTGAGTGGATTGATAGGGAGTTTACTGGGAAACTTAAAAGTTTAAGCACTTGCAAAGCCCATGTAATTGGTGGTTCAAAGCCAATCAAGAGTTGCCTCACAAGAAAATCTGACCATTTACTTTTAAAGGCACCATAAAGAAACCTATTACCATTGAGCCAATGTCAGTCTGGAGACTAAGGTGTGCCTAATTTAAGCCATGGTCTTCAGAATCCTTGCTATGCATCAGAGAGCCAGACAATGACCAAAGATGACAGAAGAAGAATTGGTGCGTTTGAGTGTGATTCTGGAAAAGAGTCTTGAACATGGCTTGCTAAGAGAACAAAGATTTATCCTGGAGAGAGTGAAACTAGGCTGCTCCTTGGAGGAAAGGATTTTGAAGCTCCATCTCACATACTTTAGGCATGTGGCCAGGAAGGACCAATCCCAGGAGAAGAACATCATCCTTGAGGAGTGGAGAGATAGTGCTAGAGAGGAAGACCCCAGATGAGATGTATTGACATAGTAACTGTGTTGGCAGGGGTAGGAGTCAGTAAGACTGGCTCAGGATAGGGCAGAGTTCAGAGCTATTGTGCATAGGGTCACTATAAGTTGCAGGAGACTCGATGGCACATAACAACAAATACATAGCAAGGCAATACTAATCACGTTTGTGGAAATAATTATACTTGTATTTTTTAAATTACAAAACTGTTGTTATTAGGTGCCATGGGTTGAATATGACCTGTAGTGGATTATTTGCGTCTTCTCTCTCTTTTCTTTTGTGAGTTTTGCTAGTGGAGTATCGATTTTGTTGACCTTTTCAAAGAACCAACTCCTAGTTTT